ATCACAGTGTTTATTTTCCTCCAGGTAACGTTATATTACATTCTATGGGACATAACGTTTATGTGTAAAAGAAAATTTTTCCCTTATAATCTCACACGGACTTATTGTATCTGATTATTTTTTCGAAACAGTGAGGTAACTCATCAGGCTTTGTTGACTTTAGTTATCATTTATCGTTATTTTTATGTTTTGTTTATGGATCGTTCAGAAGGCAGGTGAGTAAACACCTGATAGCTAGACGGAGCCTGAGAAAATCGTATCTCACCAATGTTAAGTCCAAGTTTTGCTCCTTCCCGTTATTGAAGTACAGTATGTCGATCTATTTGCAATTCACGAACCCAAATTAACAACAAAACCAAACTCCAAAGTTAGATACCAAAGTTTATTCGCAATTCACAAATAGTAGACCAAAATGTCGTTCTAACAACATTAATTATAATGACTACAAATACCTTCAATTTTATAGGTTCCTGGAGAAAAAACTCCCAATTAGCAAACCAAGACAAACAGAAACCAAAATGTCCGAAAATAATAAATCAAACAAGTTCATAAGTTAAGTAAAACAAATATATCCAAAAAACACAGTGAAATCAATGATATTTATATAAAGGTTTTAATGAGCCAAATGTCTTCATTTCCCCCGTAACAACCAACATGGTGAGATTCCATTCTCTGGCCTTTCTTAATCTCTGTATTTTTGATTCATATGTTGAGGTCGCACACGACAAATCAGGTACTATATTTTATAGAAAAATGTAAATGCTTCTGTGATAAGATCGTAAAGTAATAAAATATGCTCCACTTATTAAATACAAATGTGAACGCCTTTTGTGCGGTAAGCATCATCGACTCTTAAATCGATAGGGTAAAAAATATAACTGTTATATTTTTTTTTTTCACACACTGACATTGTAATTAATGTCAATTCTAGGATGGAGGCGATGTAACAGCGTAGGTTAAGTAGTTAATAGCTGATCTGATACTTCATTTAGGATTTAAAAAATCATATCTAGAGTATATATTTGCTTTCTTACTGTGTGTAGGCGTTTTATTTTGTGCTATAATCTTTTTATTATTGTTGTAAGTTTCGTTTACTTTATTGTCAACCTCCCTGCCATACTGTGCAGCAAAGCAAGAACTGAATAAAGAACCACCGTATTGCCGGCTTTTGATATATATTGAGAGGGATAAAGATTATGATTCTACAGTCCCATAAGTCTTAAGTTTTCTTACTGTCCACGTTAGTTTTACTGAACACACTCTAGTTGAACTTGATCAGTCAGGCATCCACAACAAATCACCATGAGATGCACTGAGAAACAAACTACAATGCCTAATTCAGTTACTCCTCCAAATCCAAACTATTCTTCCGATACAACTTTGGTTCTTTCGATTCCTGACTTCTAGAATGACACTGCTTTGTGTATTCCAGATCTGAAGTGTAATTAATGACTACGAAAATCTGTGACATCCTTAGCACCATCAAAGACTGAAAGTTCTTTCACGACTGCCGAAATGTTCAAAAAGAGCGGGAATAACAGGAAGAATTTCACTGAGAGGACTAAATCAGCCTCTTGTCCATCTCCAACGGTAACTGGATTTAAAAAAAATTGGGAGTGACCTTATTTCTTTGTTTAGCTCAAGCAACGAAAATCCTCTACCTGGATTATATTACTGATTGAAAAACAGACTATAATCCGAATTTATTGTCAGTACTTTATATGACCATGAAGTTTGTTTGTTTGTATTCCTTTAGAATTGTACTTCTTAGTGAGAGTATTTCAAATACTTCGTAGTTGTATGGTGCTATACTCTAGCTTTTTTATCGAGTCCTATATGACACGAATTTGTCATTTAGTCAATTCTTTTACACGATATATGGTAGCATGTGTTTTAAATCAATCGAAAGCTACTGAGTTACAGTTGGGCATCTGTGCTTTACATTAAACTCATTGTCAGAGTCAATAACGTCATTTAATAGATTTCCATAGTTTCGTGTCCGAATTACCTTTGAAGAGCATAAGTACCCTACTCGGTCTAAATTTGAAACTTGCACATAGGTATTCACAGTCAGAGTTGCAATTTCATTTTATTCCTCAACCTTGTAATACTTCGTTGATGTGGAACCATCATTTTGAAACATTTTTTGTCTGATTTATTGCCTGGGATTTTTGTTGGCTAATTGGCATTAGCAATCGTCTCTTTTCTAGATATGACCAGATAAGGTGGAAACCTGACAGGTTGTGAATCAGCTACACGTGTTTAAAACTGGTTGATCCATGCAACCTCCTTAATCGGACAATAGGCTTGACTAGCCTCTGGTTGGTTTTTAATTCAGATAATAGTATTAAGAGAAGTTGCTGGTTAGGTTACTATAGGTTAAAAAATTGAAATGTCTCCAGTTGTAGGTTAGCAAACTAGCCCAATATGTCGGCATATATGTGCGCTTGGAAACAAATGCGAAATGAACTGTTCTGTTGAGTAATAATCTGTATATCCGAAGTAATACCAGAAAAAGAATTCAAAATGAGTAGATGTTAACATTTTGGTGGTAAGCAGTATGGTAAGAAACTATTCAGACAGAAATGTATTAAAGTGCACAAATCATTAGCATCACCATAGTGAACTTATGCGTACTTCAGAGTCAACGTAAACGAGGCACAAATATATCTTTGGGTTTGATTTCATTGTGGTGAGTAACAAAAGTCTGGGTGGCTTGTGTTACTCCTACCGCTGAGGTTTCTCGGTTTCTTTTGAATGGGTCAAATGATGAAGCTTGATACTATCGCTACCACTATTGGATTTGAACTAACAGTTGCGTCTCTGCGCTAATGCGGTATGGCAACCTGAACTGATATGCGAACTTACGAAGTTCTTCGTTGTAACTGATGAAGCTTGAACTGTATGTCGCAACAGAACTCCGTTAGCGTTTCAATAGCTAAGTCAGTTAGTAAGTGATTGGTGCTCAACTTGGAATTTCCGTCAAGGTTCCGTTTTAGAAGATAAGGAGATCGATAATATCACAGATGTGAAATTATTGTTAAGTAATTAGAAAATACTGATTTAATCATCTGATTCTTCTGTGTGACAAAGAGAATAGCTTTGATTTAGCCGGTATTGATTTTTGGCAGCTTAGATATTCCAGGAATCGGCTTAGTTGTTGTTCTTGGATCCTGTTCCAGCAACCGGTCATCTTATGCTACCTAAGTTGTAAAAAATAAGTGATCTGTTTTAAGATAGTGGAGCACTTTTTGAAGAAATCATGATTTTATCTGTGTACTTAAATCGATTAATAATATTTTAGAACATTGGAAGCTACTCTGCTTTAACCTGAGGAACTATATTTGTCAGGTTTATTCCTCCTACCCGTATGCAAGTCTCAACTTACTATAAGGTTTTTGGTAATTTGCTTTGGATTGCGGGCATACTAATGCACATGCTTAAAATGCTTGATAAGTGGCGAGATTTCTGTTAGCAGCCTTTGATACACGCCGCGTATCATACACTTTCTCTTCATCTAACCTAATCTTCAGAACTAAAACATTGGATTACGTAAGATTTCTGCAATATCCAATGTAGATGGCAGAATACTTCTTCCCTTGCGGTAAGAGCATCTCTATGCTATATGCGGTGCTACAATAGTCCGAAAATACGTGATCTTTACGATAGTTGTTTTTCACTGTTACTGCCATAGTCCTAATTTAGTATAATACTATGATTTCACCCCCTTCTTCATTTGGTTTGTGTAGGAAACTAAGCGTTCCAGGCATTTCATTGAATCCTCTCATGTTTGATCATATTTCCTTTACAGAGCTTGGACTAGATTGCCGAGCGAAGCGTTAGATTTAAAGCTCAATCTCTGAGACGTACAAATATAATTCACCTTGATGTTTGATATTAACTCGGCACCCCACTAATGTGAAACTATTCATTCAAATTTAGACGAAGGTTGTTATACATCTTTTCTTTGTAATTCCTCTTAGACGTTCCGGCTTCCTGATATTCAAGTTTAGTCTCGTCGGCCCTCAGATTCTTTGTTTTATACCGAAAATGTTATGAGACTCTTTGGTAAACCAAAAATGCATGAGGTGTATTAACTTTTAATTATAATTTCGTAAAGTCTTTCTAAGCCGTTTCTGTGAGGAATAACAGCTTGTTTTCTTAATCTACGAAAAACCCTCTGTTCTTGATTCGTTTTATATTTACGTGGCGGGAACTAGTGCTAGTCCTGACGATCTCCATTCATAAATTAAAAGCTTTGATACCGCTCTGAATACAGCTGCCAAAAAATATTCATATTGTTCAGTGGGTTGTTTCAACTTACACCTTTAGTTTGGTAAACATTTTTAAATCAAAATAGAATTCACTGATTAGAATAATTAGCAAAACTCGATTAATTACTTCATGATAGGCAGGATATATAGCGACTTATCCTTGATACGGAATATTCTTTAGGGAGTCGTTGTTTATTTCAGATGAGCTGTTTAAATTCATACAGATTGAATTGATTACTAAGTGCATGCATGGTTCATATGCCTCAATGGTAAAAAGGATTGATAACCAATAAAGTGAAGTCAAGGTTCCTTGCACGAGTAAAGGCGTTTTAAATCACAATTAACTACAAGAATGGTTCTATAGTAACGAGAGAAATCTTGGGTTATTATTGATGATTTTACGAACATCGAGTCTCCAAACAATTGAAGTACAACTACTTAAAATTGATCAAGTGCAACGATTATGCGAGTTTCTTTATAGTAATGTCTCGGTTCTTAAACATTACAGTGGAGTTCGTTCAGATGAAGGAGCGCTACTAATTAAACCACATTGGTAATAACTTAGATTGAGATATTTAATGTTCACTCAGTTATTTTGAACGGTTATGACGATTACAAGTTTATCATTTTCTTCTGTATTGTATCATCGTATTTTAGCTAACAAAAATAATGTTTTTGAGAGTTCAATCTTTCCTCATTAGGAAACGCTTTTCCCTTTCTGTTTTAGTCCCATTATGTCTCTCTCTTTATGTTGCTCCGTTGTGATTGAAGAGTTAGCTTCCGACAAATGTACTGTCAAACGTCGCACAGCATTTCGGGAATCACAAATTTCAGCAGTTAGAGATGACCTACAACAAATTCTCATACGTATCACACCTTTGAATAATTCAGGCTGCAAAAAGATGGTGAAAAAAAGCATGGGTTATCCGATCATTGAATTGGATCTTTATAAAAATTTCTTATCACAAGGTAAAGCCACTATATGCTTACCAGTTCATTCTGTGAGAATAATGATTAATAACTGTCCACCAGATAAACTTCGTTTTTTCCTCGGGACCCTTCGTACCAAAGTCAATGCACAAAAGAATCAAATTCCAAAAAGACCAGTACTACCGGATGCTCCTCCTACATCTATTTCACTCCTAGAAGAAATAAGTCCACTACCTCCCCCAAAGAAATCCAACTCTTATCCAAAAGTGACAGAACCATTTCCTTGTAACATGTCGGTCATAAACTTTCAAGAGGGTAAGTATAGTGTATTCACAAATTTTATCAAGCTAACATAACTTAAAGTAACTTAGGTTTTATACCACAGTGAAGATGTAAGATAATGAACTATTTAAATTTGCTTGAGACTTCAAAACAACTGAATAATAATAGTATTTTTTCTAAGGAATACTTTTGTCTCTCCTCAATTCATTTGTTTCCAACATTCGTTACCAAATATTTTACGACTCATGGTTTTATCTGATTTAAGTCTAACATTTTTTGGCTCAATGTTTTAAAAGAAACTGAATCATCGAAATTCATATCCTGTTGTTGTTTGCAATCTTAAGTTACAACTTATGAAAATCGAATCCATATGAATTAAGTTAAAATTATGTTGCAAATTATTATTCAGTTGGAGCGCTTCACGTTAATAAGAAATCACTCAGTTTAATTATTCTAATCATTTCAGACAAATCATTATTTCACATTATGGTCGACAGATTTAATGTATTTTGATCGGTTACACTTAGTGTACATCAAATAACTTCATCTGCAAAACTTGTTTTCACGCTAGTTAGCGTGGCACGTAAAATATGGTGGAAGTAGTTTCGTTCAGAATGGCGAAATTATTATCATGAAACATAAACGCATCATATCTCTAAGCCCATAACGAGTCCTTAAAACATAGAAGGAAAAATGGCTAACTTCAAACAACTGTGTACTAACCAAATATAAAAACAAATCCTGATGTTGTGAAAGTAGACATTAACCATATAAACCATTCTAAAACAAAACAGGTAAATGGGTTAACACACTTGTTTACCGAATACGGACGCAAAATAAAGTTATTCCGAAAAGCCAAACATTACAACACTTGTGATACTGGAAATCTAACTCAACGCTAGATGCGAGCGTGTTTATCTGGTTACTGAGTTATATTGGTTGGGTTTTAAATTATACTGAAACAGCTTAAGGTCTCCTAAATGCTCTTACGTTATTTTGATGCATCATGCCTTCAGAAGACAAAATCTTCTCCAATACTATCGCCACCATTATCGGATTTGAACTGACAGTTGCGTCTCTGTGTTAATGCGGTATGGCAACCCGAACTGATGTGCCCAAGTACATAGTTCTGTGTTGTATGTCTGTGTCAGAAGACAAAACAGCTGAACCATCTTTTTATCATCCTAGCAAGAGTTTTCGTCGTCTTTATGAATGAAAAGTAATGAAATATCTTCTCTAGAGTAACATATTCGGATATCTGTTTATTGGCAATGGATCTAAAAATAAAGCTGTTTTTTATCTCAGAACTTGACGTTCACAGAATTCGAAATGAAATCTCTGAGCATTCCCGTATTTGGAATTTTTAGAACTTACAGCAGTCAATTCACAAGTGAAGTAAGTATACTTACGCGTCTCGAAAACTTATGCTATCCAATATAAGGAGCTGCAGGTGACCAGATCATTCCCACAACTTGTTCTGAGGTTTATAAATGTCTTAAGGAGACCTGTTAGCAGTTGTACAGTACAAAGTTTAGTGATCAAATTAAACTGAACTCAAAGGCTCCAAGGTAATTGTACTGAGTGATCCAATTAAGCCTTCCTATCTTTGACCTTTAGCTTACTTTTTTTAGTTACTAGCATTTGGCGTTCATACTGTATCACCTATTCGGGATATGAAGCTTGAAAGCTCTTCATATCTGTACCAAGTAGAAGATAGGTTCAAGATAAATGATATTCCTCACTTCTTACTAATGGCATGCATTAATTTATCTGTCGCCTCAAATCCTATAAATTTTGATTTCAAACTCCAAGCGTTATTGTTAAATTTACCACCCACCCTATCGTACATTTATATACAGAAGCCTCAACTACCTGTTCACCTGAACGTGAATCCGTACACTCAACTCCTCTAGTTTCCACTCCTGTACGAAAGATCACGGTAAGAACACGTCAGGATAATAATCGATCATTTGGTCATATCTGTGATTTACGGAAATCTGATGTTTCAAGTCAACCGGGTTACGAGCAACAAATGTCAGTTATAGATTTCGTAAAAAAAGGATGCAATGTTTTTTGTACCGGTGGTGCCGGGACAGGAAAATCTCATCTCATTCGTCGTGTAGTTGGCAAGTAACGTTTTCATATATATATATATATATATATATATATATATATATATATATATATATATATCTGTTAAATTTTCTAAAATTATATCATGACATTTGTGCTTGTTAAAAATTCAATCGCAGATGTGCAATTTCTCATGAAACCATATTGATTACTTTTCATAAGATTTTTCATATTGCCTAATGGCCTCTCATAAGTTATTTGAAATCACTTTCGCTTCACAAGACAATCACTCAAATTTTTCTTTTTTAATACATATAATCAGTGTTATGAAGGTCAAGATATTACTGTATGTTGTTATGTGGTTGCGTCTATGTTTGAAGACTTGTAATCATATGAGAAGCCATTTAGAATTGATCCATAACATTGTACGTGTTCCTATGGATGCTGATTTCAGTTAGTCCACGTACTTTCAAAAGAGAAAGTTAGTTTGCTATAGGTTTGTCTCGTCAGTTCGTCTGAAGATGAAAACAGATGAAAAGAATCCAGAGTTAAATTTACATAATTATATTTCAAGCGTTTTCGCTCTGTTTGGTCTGAATAATTCGACTATAAGGTACGCTAATTGAATTTTTAGGATTATCAGTCCCAAATAATCAATGAAACGAAGTATCCAAACGTAAAAGGAAAGACTCAATTTAATATGTAAATTTTTACGTTGTTACTGAAACTGACGGCTCTCAATGTTAATATTTTTCGGAAAAACGTTTTGCTACTTCTTATAAAGAGTAGTATAACGCCGTAACAATTAATATTATCTATTTAAGTGATTCTTATGCAAAGGTAAACCACTACATACGAAATTTTGCTGTTACTGAAATTTGGAGTCGGTACATATAGTATTTAGATGTCCGTATATATTCAATTATCCAGGGACTTCTATATATCAGATTACTGTAGGAAATTTATGCACCTACTGTTTATTAAGAAATCGTGTTTCCTAAATATTCAGGTTTACTTCCGCCGGAGTATACTGCTGTAACGGCTAGTACAGGATCAGCTGCTAACCTCATTGGTGGGCTAACAGTGCATGCATTTTCTGGATTAGGAGGTTTACTTGAGTCAGATCTAAAGATGGAAAATGATAACATTTCAGCTTGGATGGAGCTTTTGCGTACTCGTTTAAAATTCCGCCCAGATCTAGTAACTCGCTGGCAAAAACTGCGACACCTTATAATTGATGAAATAAGCATGTTAAGTAGCAGAATATTTACACGTTTGGAACTTATAGCCACTGAGTGTCGTCGTTCAATGAACAAGATTTCCGAACCAAAAGCTTTTGGTGGCATCCAGTTGGTTGTTTTTGGCGACTTTTTTCAACTTCCACCTGTTGTACATCCATCTGAGGTTGGTTCTAATCATTCCAAAATTATAAACCTTTACGGTTTACTTTTATATTGTATTCGTGTGGCGTTAGAGGACTAATGATGTGTTTCTATTGTATCTTTAAAAAGGTGAAGGTAGAACTTTATAAATTAATGGAAATAATGTCTTTATTGCTTTCCATTTCTTATACAAGCTTTCCTTTTATTATTGTCAAGTGTAGCAACCTGGGTTGATGTATGTTCGTTCTCGGTTGATTTTCACAATAGACTGACTTTTCTATTCATTTGATTTGCCGTTCACTTTGTGGATTAAAGATGTATTACAACCTTAACTTATTACAAATTTTGTTTAAATTCTTTTAACGATCTCACTAAATTTGTTTAAAACTAGAATGCTTTAGTCTAAGTGCTTTATAATGTCATCTTTCGTCATTTGGGTCTACAATCATTCAACAGTTACTAATAACACTTTAATATGACACGATATAGCAATAAAAACTAAGGAATCGTTTCTTCAGGCTTTACATTGGTAGATCTATGATTCACTTTTTACAGGAAACTTCTAAAACTAATATATCAAAACATCAAGACGACACTGGTATGTTGAGTAGAAGTAAAAGATCATTAATTGTTTTTAGGATCTTGATTCACATCATTCGTTAGTCATCTGGTGTTTGGTAAGTTTTTCATCGTCATGTTAATTCGGTTTGTTGCATGGCGCATAACTAGCAATTTTAATTCCACATTATATCTTCACCAGGTTTGCTAGTGATTCTGTCTTCTGACGCATACTCAACTAAGATTCAAAAATCAGTTCTCTCAATATGTAAATAACCTTAAATTCTTCCGTCGCTCCGGTATTTTGCTGATCAGCTATGTTGTCATAACAGTATGGAAATGTACATGTCAAATGAATTTCATATTGAAATGAATATCACATAGTTATCAAATATTTCAGTCTGTCAGCTAAACGTCCTTATATAACTGATTGTTTTATGTAGGCATTATGAAATTGTTATAAACATATAAATGTCATTTATAAAAACATTCACATATCTTGATGAAACCAACCGCTTTATGTTCTTCCAATCGGGTAGTATTCTGCACACTTTTAGAGTTTTCTTAATGATATGATTCTTTGTATTATAGGACATTATTACATATGATAGATCTTCTTATGTCTGAGTGATAGGGTTATGCCAAAAAATAAATCTAGTCCGATTTCAAAATTTCTGTCTGTAGAGGGCTAAAGCTACATATGATACTCTTAAGTGATTGTGTTTCTCACAATAGAAAAAAGTAGATATTGTGTGATGTTGGAAATCATTGTTGGCCTATTGGAAAGATATCGAGTTTGTGTTAAATATTAGTGTTTTTTTTTACAAGTATTTGCAACCGTACATCGTATATTTGATAGAAATTCACTTCCTTATTTTATTATGTGCAATCGATATTTTCTAACTTTCAGCAACTTAAATATTTTAAAAACGGTTTAGTTAGGACTGAGGCACATGTTAATATCACTCTGGCAT